AAACCAAACCCTCCACTGAATTGAATGCAGCTACAGGCAATCAAATGTTGCAGATTTTTCATTATTTTTTTGTAAACCTGGAAAATCCCTTTTCATAAATATTGCTCTTTAGCGCCCTTCAAAATTTTTTCCTCTTTTTTTTCATTATTTTTTCATGCCAAATCCAGTGATTTTCGTGATCTCAAAACTTATCCCAAATTTTTATGTATTTTAGGCTAGAAAGATAAAATTTAAACAAAAGATGACGTTCCATAGGTAGTCCACCCGGGCCTTAATTAAAAATTGATCAATCTCTTTCCCATGATTTTGGAAATAAAAATAATGAAGGGAGATTAGGAAAGATACGAATCATTTGTAAGGGTATGTCACCTAGGAAAATTGGGCCTTACGAGCAATGTTCATGCCTCAAGATTTATCGGACACCGGCCAGACTTTCACGGAAGGTCTGAACCTGTCCTCGGGGCCTTTACGGCTACCCAAGGAACAATTTTCTATTTTACTTTTCCCACCAACAAGTTTCTGCCGAATATTAAATAATGAAATACGGGCCCGAAGGGGGCGCAGCCATAAATTTTACGGCTCGTGACAATTTCGTCTAATTGACGTCGGAAGCTGGAGTAGCTCCGAGAGCTGAAGCTGCCCACCTCTGTATATTAACTCCATAATATTAATATACATATAAACATTATAACAATATATTATAATTATTATAATATATATTAACTATATAATAACTACATCAATATTGCAATTGAATTATCAATTAAACTTTTTTAAAATTTAATTTAAAAAATCTTAAAAATTTTTTAAATAATAGAAAAGAATTTTTCTGTTTTTATTTAAACAATACAAAAATTGCATTCATCTATATTGTAAAAAAATTGTGTTTAGGTCGCTTGTGAGCCACTGGCAGCCCCTTGTCTCTTCAATCTCCAGGAGGATCCCTGCGAGATGACAAATATCATAAACATGCACCCCGAAATCGCGGAGATCCTAGAGAAATCCCTCGCAATGCACCGGAGTACTGCACTTCCAGCTGGGAACATACCCGGGGACATCAATGGAGATCCAGTCAAATGGCACGGCCTCTGGGTCAATTGGAAAGACCCGAACCCTGCAGTAAAGGCTTTCGTCCCTCCCAAAGCTGACGCAGACTGCAGTTCCTCAAATCCAGTTGTCATTGTGATTTTAGCGTGTCTACTCATCGTCGCTGTAGCTATTATAATTATTATAATGATCAAAACTCGTAGGAGAAGTTCAAAGAACAGAAATTATCGTGTTGATATGGCAAATGGGGATGAATTCAAGAGTGCTCGCTTGTGAGTGGAACCTTAGATTTATAAAATGATGAAAAATTTTTTTTTCATGGTTTTCATTGGCCTTGAATTTATCTCGCCCAAGAAAATCATCCCAGCAATTTTAAATAATTATTGATAAAAGACTAAAAGTTGAAGAGAATGAAGAGATTGTTATTTTTGTAAAATGTAGAGGATTTTATTTAGTTTTGATAACGGATACGGTAGCAATATGGCGATAGTATATATCGCGCTTGATACATGGGGATGTATATCCAAAAAGTCTCTTGGATAAATGCTCTGGGGGATTAATTGAAAAATTTAATTCTCATATAATGTAACTCCAAACAACTCAGTCATCATCAATTCAATTAATTCAATTCAAGATAATTATAGATAAAGACTAATAATTAAAGGAAAGAGAAAGAAAATGGCAGAAAGAAAACAGAAATTTCTTTGAAATAGCCAACGTTTTCCACAAGGTGTTCCTCCTCGGGGTATCATTTATTCTGATTAATAAACCCATTGAATTATTCGATGATTATGACAAGAAGCATTTCTCCAGAGAATTAATGATAAAGAAAAGATAAGAGTACAGAAAAAATAAATCTAAATATGCAAACAGATTTATCAGTCAAAAATGTGAAATCACTTGACGCAAAAAGTCATAGTCTTGATAACTATGCATGTTGATATAGTGCCGTATTCCTCAGAGGCAATAGTAATTAGAATGACCATTACTGGCCGACATATTTGGAGCTACCGTATATAAGGTGTTTCGTTAGCTGAAGGCCTGAGGGCATAGTACATTACGCAACTAGTGCGGAAAGCAGGTTACTCACGAGGGACCGCCTGCTGTCCGCCCGTGTTGCGTATATTTTACATGATAAGTGCGTCTTCGCGGGAGGCTGCGGAGGGGGGTGTGGGGGGCGAAGCCCCCCCCCCACTGAAAAAATAAAAATTACATTAATTTTAAAAAAGTAAAAAAAAGTGTAGAAGATTTTCATTATTTAACTCATTGTAACGTATTCTCTTCTGCGGAGTTTGAGTTGATCCGGCTGTTGCTTCATTAAAATATATTTCATTTCCATTTTCTTCCGATATTACATCACCAACGAAATCCTGATCTATAAATATATCTTCTTCACTATCTAACGCTTCATCACTATCGGGAATGATGTGACTCATTTTAATTTCCTCTGAAAATCCCTTTTTAATTTTCCAGTTCTTCCCGATATTGACTAGCCGGAGGTTAAATTTCCCTGCTGTTTTTCTTGAATCAAGGATGTGCATGCGCGACATGCGTTTCCTCGGGTTTTAGTTGCTAATGAGTATGCGTCCGAAACCCGCCACTTTCCAGTTAACTATAGTCAACTAAAACCCATGCGGTTATACGCACGTATCATGTAAACGAATTTTAAATTCTTATGACATTCCATTTATCTTGTTCTCCAAAACTGACAACCCCCTCCCCCATATATGTCCGACACAATTCCATTAATTAAAACATTGTAAATTCGTTTATTCACGTCCCCTCCTCGATACAGTTCCTCTGTGAATTGACGAGTCAGGAATAAAATAGAAGAATACAATATAATCAACAAGCAAAAAAAAAAAATCATTAGTCACTTTCTAAAAATCACCAAAAAGCACACGGATGTGCTCCACTAACACATGATTCTTATGTACATTTTCATAATTACTTTCAGAATATAATGGATACTCTTCTGGATTGTCGTTGTTCAGTAAAACATATAAGGCAAAACTCAAAATTCAATGCTGTTTGTAAGTGACAATATAACATGCTCCTGGACAATAGCAGCTAGTTCCTTGAGCCACTCGTCCATCAGAACAGCACAAAGTACAACATGTTGAGTTGGTGTTATTTTGTGCAACGAGGATAATGTCTCAGGACGACTGCTTGCACCATCACTCGTCATCTCCAGGTGCTCGTCACCTCTGGAGAATGCTGATGAGCTCGGCAGAGAACTTCCACCAGGCCATTTAAATATTTGTGTTAAAGAGGACGTCAAGCTTCTTCTTTTTGATTCATTCCTGGAGAACAGCTCAACTGCTACTTTCTCTGGCTCTTTTTTCACCCTTTGATTAGTCTTCAATGCATTTCGTCTGGTATTCACGAGCCTGTACTCTCTTGCGATGAGAAATGCACGAGCTTGCTCCACTAGATTGTCGACATTCTCAACTTTCGATAAATACTGATCAATTTTGTTCTTCAAAGACGCCAGAATCTGAAATTCAATGGAATTATTTTATTAACATATTTCGTCGATGATATAGGAATGGTTTATTGTTATTATATTATTATTGTATTATTATTATATTATTATTTATGAAGACAGTGGCATCGATTAGAAATATAGAGGAGTGGAGGTAATGGAAATGTTTTTATGTATCTACATTATCCAAGTAGGCCTAATTAATAATTCAATTTCAATACTAAAAAGTTATTTTCAATTGTTCATTTATAATCCCACTAATCTGTAAATTCTGATTCCTTTTGCTTGCGAATGGAAGCAATGGAAGCGGCCTAGTTGTTGACAACCGCTAGAACGCTAGCTAACAATTATTGAAAAAAACGATTAATTGCCAAAGTAATTAGGAATCCGAATTTCGGAGTAAATTATCTTTTCTAGATAATCCACCCGAGCCTTAAGGTGGTTGTCGCGCGACAGTCTCTGTAAAAAGTTTATCCGCTGTAAAACGGGCCAGTTTAGAACACAATCTTTTAGCGGTATATAGTCTCACTTGATTGATTGCATTGTGCATGGATAGCTAAAGCATAACTATATATTTTCCATATTAACTATTTTCAATTATATAAATTTATGAATTTCCGATAACTATATGCCGTAAACCAAACGGTCAATCGATTTGATTTTTTTTTTCTGTATTTCCTCCCACGATGTATATTTCACGTTTTTTTTTTATTTCTGAAACTGTCGAGCCGTTGATTTTTAAAAAATTCTAATCGGCAAAACTCCATTTAAACACGTGTTAAATCACTCGAATTTCAAAAATTTATATATCAAGTTCAAAACGGTCAATTGCAAACGGAAAAGGCTCATTTTGTTGCTAATTTTTCAAACTATTCACCATAAAATTGTTAACGAAAACTGTCGAAAAAAAATTCTACGCGACAACAACCTTAAGGCCCGGGTGGATTGTCTGGAAACGATGATTTACTCCAAAATTGGCACACCTAATTACTCCATCAATTAATCAATTATTGGAAAAAACGATTAATTTCCGGAGTAACTAGAAGTCCAAATTTCGGAGTAAATAATCTTTCCCAAATAATCCATCCTAGCCTTAAATCTCAAATTGATGCTTCAGAAAAAAATCATTCCCCTAATTGCCAAATACTCCATTCACCTATTGAATTTTGTTTAAAGAAAGAACAGCGTTAAAATAAATAGTCCAACCATTTTGAATGGCTCCCCACATTACCTTAACATCCCCTATCTTCTAGAAAGCACGAAAACATTTCAAAATATCGCGTCCTAAAAATTCCATTTCCGAAATAGTGACGGAAAAAATTACCTGAAATAACGACCTGATGCTTGGCTGGAAGACCAACGAAGGGTTCAGGAGAAATGACTGGAGCAGTGGCTGTCGATAAACCGCCAATCTACTGATTAATCCAGTCAAATGTAAATTGACATAAAGATTATTGCTAGTCAAGCATTCAAGTTTTCTCAGAATGACATCCAGAAATATTCCAACATTCGGTTTCCCATTGCTGAGACTTTCCCTCTTCCAATCGTTCTCAATCCTGGCATTGACCTCAACAGATCCCCCATTAGCATTTCCATTTCCATTTCCATTATCATCATCTTTATCTACATCCTTATCCTCATGACTGATGGTAAAATCCTGTGAACTCTTCATGGCAAGACTCTCATACCCACTGCTGTCACCGAGAGACTCCCCAGGATTGATGGACTCTCCATTCTTCTTCAGGCTGGCTTCATAAATTTGTGATATTTCAATTTCCTCATTCAATAACGCATCTATATCAGCATTCAATTGGTCCTTATCAACGCGCGAAGAGCTCCTATCATTGACCTCGCTGGTGGTATCATCAGTCAAGCTCTCAGCAATGGTGTCTTCCTCATCAACAAGAAGACTCTTGATGTTGTCTAGAATTTCTTCTCGTGGTAGAGCCATAAACTGACGACTGAACTCTCGTCCAGATGCAGATGACAATTGACTCGAGTCATTGATATTCGTGATACTGTCACTGTCATTCCCTTCCTCGAGGGAAATCCCATTGTACTGAGAAGACCAGTAGGAGCAACCGATCTGGCAGGCAACGATTTTCTGTCTGGCATCGAATAAATAGGCATGATAATTCCCGTAGAGACTTTCACCTACCCTCGAGCCGTAATTTATGAGCCAATTGGGTGAAGTCTGTTGGTTATCAGGTGGATTTGTACGTTTTGACTGTAATACTGTGGATCCCCAGGTGAGACAGCAGCTGGGACGTAAGGAGAGAAATTTTTTGGCTGTTGATCCGTAAGAGTCAAGATCACGCATTCGTCGACGCTGTGACAGCATAACGTGAGAGCACGGGATGAGCGAAGATAGGCAGAGCTCCAACATGATATCTTCGATGTTTAAATCAACAAGGGTCTCGAATAAGGCCAGTGTGACGATGCACAATCGTGACCTCGATGATATCCTCTGGATGAGACTATCGAGAATCCTGCATTCATCATAATTCTCCTCCAGCAAAAACTTTATCAATGTCTGCAGGAGTCCAGGATCGGTCACAGACCTCAGGAAAAGATCGAAGTAAGCAGTTGCTGAGACTAAATTGTCCAGTGAAGGCTGGAGTAACGCGGGACCCATAACAGGGACCAAAAATCCCTGATAGAGATACTCGAGGAGTTGCTTTTGCACCAGAGGATGAGCAATTTGGGCGACAGCATTGCAGAACTCAAAGGAATGCATCAAATGATCGAGTGCTGGGATATCATTGACATCATCTGGGGTGAGTCGATGCCAGTCTTCAGTTTCGATGTCAAGTTTTCTTGGTAGAACTGAATAGAGACCACTGATTCCAGTGGCAAGAACTGGACACACATTGGAGTTCTCAGCTATGTAGATACCGATCTCGTGATTTCTCTTTGATAGAGCCATGCACAGGAGCATTGCGTCTCTTGCCTGTTGTCCTACTGTACCCTCTCGGTGGATATGAGGCATCAGCAGGGAAAATATTATGAATTTGCGCTCTCCAGGTGCGCTGGGGTGAAAGAATACGTCGAGGAGTGCTAAATTTTGCATTAGGGCAACGCACAGGCCATTTAATAACACTATCAATTTCTTTTGGACGTCAAATGGCAGAATATCATTGGCACAGGCTTCCAGGAGTTTCAGCAGCGGTCGTGCCACTGGCTCGTGAGCTAGTAATGAACCGTTGAAGGATACCAGGATCTCGAACAGCTTCATCTGCTCCATGCGGATTGTGTTGCTGTATCTGTAACATGTAGTTGTTTATTGACAAGAGAAATTCGGGAATTGTAGAGGAATAAATAAGATGCAGGGAACTTTTCGAATTTTTGGAGACGAATTTTTCTCTGCTCCAAGGAATGGGAAACAGCTAGAAAAGTATTTAATATCGACGCAAATTAATTAATTAATCTCAAATAATGAAATACTTTATAAAATATTCTTATTAAAGCCCGGGTGGACTATCTATCAAACGTCGACTTTTGTTTAAATTTTATCTTTTTAGCCTAAAATTCATTAAAATTTGGGATCAAATTTGTGTTGCGGGAGCTACTCGAATGGTTATAAAAAAATAATGAAAAAAAAGGGGAAAAATTATTGAAAGGCGCTAAAGAGCGATATTGTTTAAAAGGGATCTACCAAGTTTACAAAAAAATAATAAAAATTACGCAGCTCACCATTGCTCTCCAGAAGATTGAGTGACAGCTAGATGCAATAGTAAGCTACGTATTTTTTATTATATTTTAGCAAACTTGGTAAATCACTTTTAAATAATATCGATCTTTAGCGCCCTTCAATAATTTTTCCTCTTTTTTTTTCATTATTTTTTCATGTCCATTCAAGTCCTTTCCGCAACACAAAATTCATCCCAAATTTCAATTTATTTTAGGTTGAAAAGATAAAATTTAAGGCCCGGATGGACTGTCTGGAAAAGATAATTTACTCCAAAATTGGGATCCCTAATTACTCTGACAATTAATCGTTTTTTTTTCAATAATTGTTAGCGAGATACTCCATCCGGCCCTTAAGGCTCGGGTGGATTATCTAGAAAAGATCATTTACTCCGAAATTCGGATTCCTAATTACTCCGCCAATTAATTGTTTTTTCCGATAGTTGTTAGCTAGCGTTCTAGTCGTTGACAACCGCTAGAACGCTAGCTAACAATTATTGAAAAAAAAACGATTAATTGCCAGAGTAATTAGGAATCCCAATTTTGGAGTAAATTATCTTTTCCAGACAGTCCACCCGAGCCTTAAACAAAAGTCGACGTTCTAGAGATAGTCCACCCGGGCCTTAAACAGATGTTCAGAAACTAATTATTAATTGTTAAAAGGAAAATTCAAATTCGGACAATGTTAATGACAATATAATTAAATGAATTGAATAATAAATGAAAATTAAGATTTAGAATTTGCGCGGGGACAGTTTTTTTTAAATTTCAATTCGTGTTTGTTGTACATTAATTTTCTTCCTTTCAACCTTTATCTAGGATTTTTCCTCGGTATGTCGTGAATAATTGACGAGTGCCCCGGATTCTTCAATAATTCAATGAATTATTCAGGTTTACATAGAGAAAACGGAATCAGAATGGCGAACCTTCCAGCTGTTGAACTCCATTCTGAGAGATTGTCCAGTAGATTTTCACTCAATAAATATTCCAAACAGGGAGAGTGAGACGGTGTACTCGTCATTTGCTGCTGCTGATGATTAAGCCCGAGACTATTCCTGAATTCCAGTAACAAGAGTGTCACAAGTTGGTCGATGTGATTGACAACAGCGAGAATGTCATCGTGTAGTGGTACTCCATTATTTAACTGCATAAATTAAAAAATGAAAGATAAAAATGAAAAATTTTAACAGCCGGACTGATTATGAAAATGACCCCATTACTTCGGAGATTACTTGAAGACAGAGATTAATCATATTTTTCAAAATTCGTCAATTTTTTCATCTTAACAAATGGAAGATTACACTGAGAAAAATATGTGACGTATTTATTTTGATAAAAGTGAAAATTAAAGAAGCAGAATTGAATATTTTTGATCTCATCAAAAATATTTGCAAACGGAAAATTTTATTGTTTGAAAATACGTAAAATTTACTGATTGCACTAATAATCTAGTTTCAATATTATTCTTTACATTCTTTATATATTCAATAATAATTGACAAGTAATGAATGACCAATGAATTGATTTCAGCACGTCAAAAATGCCAAAACCAATGAATAGATGATTCATAATTTTTTGGAATACATTCCCTACAGTTGATTAATGTGATTAACTGCCAAATTGATTGTCTCACCAGGGCCAAACACAAGAGTTAATTAACAATGTAAATTAGATATGGGAAACCTGAATGGTATTGGAGAGAAGTAAACATTTATATTTGCACATTAAGGCCCGGATGGACTGTCAGAAAGAGATAATTTACTCCAAAATTGGGACTTCTAATTACTCCGTCAATTAATCGTTTTTTCCGATAATTGTTAGCTAGGGGCCTAGTTGTTGATAACCGCTAGAACGCTAGCTAACAATTATTGAAAAAAACGATTAATTGCCAAAGTAATTAGGAATCCGAATTTCGGAGTAAATTATCTTTTCTAGATAATCCACCCGAGCCTTAAATTCGTTGGAGCTTTTGAATGCGCGTCACGCGTCACAGTATCAATCGTGATTAATTTATGAATTTCTCTGAAACAAGACGATCATTATTATGGAAATCTAATGAGATCACCTGGAAATTACTCAATTGGGGAAACAACCTTTTGAAAACGTACATACTTCTCTCGAGTAGATGGCTTGGCGGTAAATCATTATAAATAATTTTTTTTTTCTCAGTGCAATTGAAAATTGCGATTTGGAGTTGATATCGAGTGGTGGAAATCGAGGGGAACTCTATTGTCAGGGGGAGTGTAGATAAATAAATGGATTAGCTGATGCTGTACCCTGGCCTGTCTAATGATCTCATGTGTCTGCTGCCAATGTTTACAGAAGCTGTCATAGCAGGCAGTTGGATCTGCATCCTTGGGAGGTGAATCTCTTGACCACTGCTTGCCAAAGCTTGTCCTTAATGGACTACTCCTTAACCAACTCATTTTAACATCCAAATGACTCCCTGTCTTTCATCAACTGCGAAGATAAATATTTTTAGATCATAACCTCACGCAAAAAAAAACACTTTCACCCGTGCTCATCGCAGCAGTTATCACGATTATAAATAACACATCGTGAATTATATGAGAATGACCAGGAGAATCGCTAATTTTTATAGCGAAACGGTGTGAAACGATTTTTTCTTTATCGCAATCACATTTCGCCTACTCTTTTTTCATGATAAACGTCGAATTTTACACGCACATACATGGAAGTGTGTCAATTGCATAGTAATGCACCCGCGTATTTTACTCGAGATCATTAAGTCATGATTTTCAACAGATTTTGTCGCTGAGTTTAAATCAGAAAGCTGTACGACTATTTTGAATTTCGAAAATTAATCTATTTATATAATTTATATATAATATATTACATATAAAATATTATATATATATATATAGGTATATATACATGTTCATATCGATTTTTCGTTTCACTGTTTCTATACACGGAGATATAAACTCTAGCAAGAAATGATGGATTGATCGAAATTGAATCGGATCGAACTGCTCATCATCGATCTGCATAAATTCGATGTCGACCGATCGATTCGTGAAAATCGATAGATATCGATTTTTCCTCCTACTCTTTCCGCAATCCCGATGCAACCCTTCAAAAAAAAGATTGATTGACCGAATTGAGGATCGACCTATTTAGGATCGATTAATCGAAAATCGATCTTATTCGATTTTTCTTCCGACTGTTTCCGCTACGCAAATTCAAAAATGAGTCCAAAAAATTGATAAATAATATGAAAACGAATCGAAGGACGAATCGAGAGATATTAATTAAAAAAATAAAATTAAAAAAAAATAAATAAAAAAAAGGAAAATAAATAAAAAATTAAAAAAAATAAAATTAAAATAAAGTAATATTTTAACTTCGGCTTTTCGATATTCATAGCTTCATAGAAATCCATCAAATATTCAACATTTTAATTCCAACAAATTGTTACGAGCCACACAACGTTAAATAAAAATTCATCAATTTTAAATAATGTCTCGAGAAAAGATCTCGACAAAAAAGATCGATTCGGCCGACTTATCGATCCGCGACAATCGATTTTAATAATCGATTGTCGACGTTAAAACAATCGATCCTAAATGTATCGATTGTAAGTCGAAGAACTCAGTGGTGGGGTCTTACCTGGGGGTGGAGTTAGGCGTCTGTCTAATAATTGAAGATTAATTAAAAAATCACCATTAAATCACTGAATCTGTCATTTAATCGAAACGTTGTGACTCCTCAGCTGATTGAATCCTCGAAGACAGGTAGATAAATTGCATTTGTCAATTCATTTGTTTATTTGATGTTTCATTGCCAAGTGGAGCCGAGACAGAACAATTACCACCTCTAGTTAATTTGTGAGAAACAATCAAGAAACGTGGAATTTACGTAAATTTTCAGTGGCAAATGGGAGAGAAAAGTGCAGAGGATTTTACATTTCAAAGTTTCACACCAAATTTAATTTTCTTGATTTGACATGATGTAGAAATGCCCAAAATAACGTGTCCACATGCTTTGTAGCTGCATTCTAACGTTCACTATGTCTCTCTGAATCTTTCTGACAAGAATCACTCTCCAGATTTTTTTCACAATTAATCATTCAATTGCAATATTTAAAAATCCGTTTGAATGGTTCATTTTTTTATTACCAAAACCATATGAAAGAGATTGATCTATTCTTAATTAAGCAAATTCATCTTCAAAGATTCGAGTGAGAGATTTATTATTTAGATCTCGAAATTAATCTATTGGGTTCTAACGACTGAATCACCAGAAATTACTGGGAATTAAGTGATTTCCGTTGCCTGTAATGATTCATCAGACTTCCGGAAATGACTCTAAATCAATAACAATTATAGAAACCTGGGGGAACATGGATATATTTTTCTAAAATTGTAGCAGAAATTGAGATTTTCAAATGTCTTCCTCAAATCCCAGACTAACTATCTAGAATGATAACCTCGTAATTAAAAATCATTGAACTATCATTAAGGCTCGGGTGGATTATCTAGAAAAGATAATTTACTCCGAAATTCGGATTCCTAATTACTTTGGCAATTAATCGTTTTTTTCAATAATTGTTAGCTAGCGTTCTAGCGGTTGTCAACAACTAGGCCGCTAGCTAACAATTATCGGGAAAACGCTTAATTGACGGAGTAATTAGAAGGCCCAATTTTGGAGTAAATTATCTTTTCCAGACAGTCCATCCGGGCCTTAAATTTGATATGAAATTCTTATTAATCCTTTAACCATATAAAAATCTTGAAAATCCACAATGGACCGATCAATGTCAATTTTTCCAAGTCCATATGTCCCCATCATCCCCAATAATTTCGACGATAACCTTGATATCATTTGCCTTCCTCTGACTCTTCATGATAATCCGTAGGTCCGGCCAATCGGCCAAGATGACGGCTGACAAAGTGACCCTGGGCGATGCCTTATCGAACGTCGACGTTCTGGACGAATTCACCCTCCCCGACGAGCAGCCCTGCATCGAGGCCCAGCCATGCTCAGTGGTCTACCAAGCGAATTTCGACACAAACTTCGAGGATCGCAACGGCTTCGTCACAGGAATAGCAAAATACATCGAAGAAGCGACAGTTCACGCGAGTCTCAACGAACTCCTGGAGGAAGGCCTTGAGCATGCAGTGATGCTGTACACCTGGAGATGCTGTTCGCGTGCTATTCCCCAGCCAAAATCCAACGAGCAACCAAATCGCGTGGAGATCTACGAGAAAACCGTGGAAGTTCTTGCCCCAGAGGTCAACAAACTCCTGAACTTCATGTACTTCCAGCGAAAAGCTATCGAGCGCTTTTCCGCTGAGGTAAAACGTCTCTGTCACCAGGAGAAACGGAAGGACTTCGTCTCCGAGGCCTATCTACTCACCCTTGGTAAATTTATCAACATGTTCGCTGTTCTTGATGAACTCAAGAACATGAAGTCGAGTGTTAAAAATGATTACTCCACGTATCGCAGAGCAGCTCAATTTCTCAAGGTGATGTCGGACTCCCAGACCCTCCAGGAGTCCCAGAATCTCTCCATGTTCTTGGCAACTCAGAATAAAATCCGGGACACGGTAAAGGAGAACCTCGAAAAAATTCCTGGCTACGAGGAACTCCTGGCAGACGTCGTCAACATCTGCGTTCACATGTTCGAGACGAAGATGTACCTGACACCCAACGAGAAGCATATGCTGGTGAAGGTGATGGGATTCGGATTATTCCTGATGGACAGCGAGCTATGCAACATCAACAAGCTAGACCAAAAAAAGAAGATAAAGATAGACAAGATCGACAGGATCTTCAAGAACCTGGAGGTGGTACCTCTATTTGGAGACATGCAAATTGCCCCCTTCAACTACATTAAACGCTCCAAGCACTTCGACTCCTCGAGATGGCCACTCTCAGCTTCCTCCAACAGCATGAGCCCTCAGGCAGATTTGATGGTGCATCTACCCCAGATCCGAGAGGATCACGTCAAGTACATCTCCGAGCTCGCCAAATACTCAAACGAAGTCACAACAACATACAAAGAATGTGGAAGTGACTCTGAAAATCGTGACACTGCTGAGCTAGCTCTACGAGGACTCCAGCTGCTTTCACAATGGACGAGTGTTGTCACTGAATTGTACAGCTGGAAGTTACTCCATCCAACGGACCACCACATGAACAAAGAGTGCCCCCAGGAAGCTGAAGAATACGAACGTGCGACACGTTACAATTACACAGACGAAGAGAAATTTGCGTTGATCGAAGTCATAGCCATGATCAAAGGTCTCCAGGTGCTGATGGCTAGGATGGAGACAGTCTTCATTGATGCAATCAGACGAAACATCTACGCTGAACTCCAGGACTTTGTTCAGTTGATGCTGCGAGAGCCTCTGAGGAAAGCTATAAAGAACAAGAAAGATCTCATCAGAAGTATTATTGTTTCTGTAAGAGAGACATGTGCTGATTGGCATTTTGGGGTTGAACCACTGAGTGATCCTGCCCTCAAAGGGAAAAAAGATCCTGATAATGGATTCGGTATCAAAGTACCGAGGAGAAATGTCGGCCCTTCATCAACTCAACTCTACATGGTCAGAACAATGCTGGAGTCCTTGATTGCAGACAAGAGTGGAGGAAAGAGAACTTTAAGAAAAGATATCGATGGACAGTACCTAGTTCAAATTGATCAGTTCCACAAGACGAGTTTTTACTGGAGCTATCTCTTGAACTTCAGTGAATCCCTCCAGAACTGCTGTGATCTATCACAGCTGTGGTACAGGGAGTTCTATCTCGAGATGACGATGGGGAGAAAAATTCATAAGTGTCAGGTACGTCATCAGCATAATGAGGAGTGCAGTGATCTGATTACCATGGAGAAGAGAATTCAGTTTCCCATTGAAATGTCGATGCCCTGGATTCTGACTGATCACATTCTGAAGAGCAAGGAGCCCTCGATGATGGAGTACGTGCTGTATCCTCTCGATTTATACAACGACAGTGCTCTGTACGCCTTGACAATCTTCAGGAAGCAGTTCTTGTACGACGAAGTTGAGGCTGAAGTTAATCTGTGCTTTGATCAGTTCGTGTACAAACTAAGTGAGCAGATATTCGCTCATTACAAGCAGTTGGCATCGAGCATTCTCCTTGATAAAAGATTCAGAGTTGAGTGTGTCGCACTGGGTGCTTATCTGCTGCCCTATCCACGTGCCAATCGTTATGAAACACTTCTCAAACAACGGCACGTCCAGCTGCTGGGGAGAAGCATAGATCTGAACAAATTGATCACCCAACGGATCAACGCTGACATGCAGAAGTCACTGGATCTAGCTATCTCCAAATTCGAGTCTGGGGACATCACTGGTGTCGTTGAGCTAGATGGTCTTCTCCAGGTGAATAGATTGACTCACAAATTGCTGAGTAAACATCTGGCACTTGATGAGTATGACGCCATGTTTCGGGAGGCCAATCACAATGTTCTTGCTCCATATGGGAGGATCACTCTTCATGTATTTTGGGAGTTGAACTACGATTTTCTGCCGAATTACTGCTACAACGCTGCAACCAATAGGTTCGTCAAGTGTCGAGGAATTCAGTTTGTCCAGCCTGTTCACAGGGACAAGCCACCGCAGATGTCTCATCATTATTTGTGGGGAAGCAAGCAGCTCAATCTTGCTTATAGCACGCAATTTGGACAGTACACTGGATTCGTTGGACCCCACCACTTCAGGATGATGTGCAAACTGCTGGGGTATCAGGGAATTGCTGTTGTCATGGAGGAACTCTTGAAGATTGTCAAGAGTTTGATACAAGGGAGTCTTCTACAGTTCACAAAAACCCTGATGGAAGCCATGCCTAAAGTCTGCAAGCTTCCCAGGTATGATTATGGATCTCCAGGTGTGCTGGGGTACTACTCTGCTCAGTTGAATGATATTGTTCAGTATCCTGACGCTAAGACTGAGTTGTTTCACAATTTTCGAGAATTTGGGAATACAATTCTCTTCTGTTTGCTGATGGAGCAGGCGTTGTCCCAGGAGGAGGTGTGCGATCTTCTCCATGCAGCGCCTTTTCAGAATATTTTACCCAGGCCTCACTGCAAGGATGGGGAGAAACCTGAGACCAAGCAGAAGAGGCTAGAGGCTAAATATGCAGCTCTTCAAATTGTGCCGAATGTTGATAAATTGGGAACTGCTAAGCAAGCGATGATTGCTAGGGAGGGGGATCTTCTCACCAGGGAGAGGCTCTGCTGTGGACTCAGCATTTTTGAAGTGGTTCTCAGCAGATTGAAGAGCTTTCTTGATGATCCCATCTGGGTTGGACCACCTCCTGCTAATGGAGTTATGAATATCGATGAGTGCACCGAGTTTCACAGGCTGTGGAGTGCTCTCCAGTTTGTATATTGCATTCCTGTCGGCGAGACTGAATTCACTGTTGAGGAACTCTTCGGGGAGGGTCTTCACTGGGCTGGATGTGCTATGATTGTACTTCTCGGACAGCAGAGACGGTTTGAGGCTCTCGATTTCTGTTATCATATACTCAGGGTGCAGAGGGTCGATGGCAAGGACGAGAATGTCAAGGGAATTGTGAGTTTTTCGTTTTTTAATGGCTTTTTCGAGAGCTCAGGATTCTAGTGCTTAAGATCATTCATGATTATTGATTGTTTTATTATTTAACTGGGGATTATCAGTTATTGATGATCATTGTTGATATTTATTCAGAAAGCGTTGAAATATTTAAACAGAATATTTTGGAAGAGTTCGGTAGAAATAATGGTAAATGTATGGTTCAGGTCCACCAAAAAACAAAAATCATTGAAACGTTAATTTCTTTGAATAAAGACCATTCTTATCCTCTCAGTCGTCAAGAACAAGATGAAAGAAGAGGGAAAAACAACAAAAAGGGAAATGCATCCTTAAATAGTCCTGAGGTAAACTCTGTTGTCCCTGAAATTCCTTAAACCCCCCCTTCTCTTTGCTGTCGCTGTTGACGAGACGAGGGAGTGATATTTAAGGGCCGGATGGAGTATCTCGGAAAGATAATTTACTCCAAAATTGGGATTCCTAATTACTCCGCCAATCAAGTGTTTTTTCCGATAATTGTTAGCTAGCGGCCTAGTTGTTGACAACCGCTAGAACGCTAGCTAACAATTATTGAAAAAAACGATTAATTGCCAGAGTAATTAGGAATTCCAATTTTGGAGTAAATTATCTTTTCCAGATAATTCAACCGGTCCTTAAGGGCCGGGTGGACTATCTATCGAGCGTCATCTTTTATTTAAATTTTATCTTTTTAACCTAAAATACATAAAAATTTGGGATAAGTTTTGAGGTCACGAAAATCACTGGAGTTGGCATAAAAAAATAATGAAAAAAAAGAGGAAAAAATTTTGAAGGGCGCTAAAGAGCGATATTTATGAAAAGGGATTTTCCAGGTTTACAAAAAAATAATGAAAAATATGTAGCATGTATGTCAAGTATTCACCACACAAACCAAACCCTCCACTGAATTGAATGCAGCTACAGGCAATCAAATGCTGCAGATTTTTCATTATTTTTTTGTAAACCTGGAAAATCCCTTTTCATAAATATTGCTCTTTAGCGCCCTTCAAAATTTTTTCCTCTTTTTTTTCATTATTTTTTCATGCCAAATCCAGTGATTTTCATGACCTCAAAACTTATCCCAAATTTTTATGTATTTTAGGCTAGAAAGATAAAATTTAAACAAAAGATGACGTTCTATAGGTAGTCCACCCGGGCCTTAATTCAATATTTTTAATGACTACAGAAGGGTAGCGGCAGATAAGTCACTCGTGGTGTTCGTTCAGCGATGGTAGATGGTCGGGAGAGGTGAATTCAGAGTTTTAGTCAAGTGCTCAGGACTATTAGATAAATTCATCTTTCTGTGTGTCCATTGTCTTTAAATGTGCTAACATGTGGTGGCTTTGGGGCTGGCACATCGCCACGTCCTCGTCGTGGCCCTGGATAACGCAGAGAGCAGTGTATTAAATGTCATATCTCCCACACTAATTGTTTCCGGATGAAAAGGTGACCAGATCGTTAATCAGATGACAGAAACCCATCCGACCAAATAAAAAACATCCAGAATGGTTTGGTGGACCTGAACTAGACATTTCCCAAAATCAATTCAAAAAGACAGTTCTAAGTCAGTAATTCTGGAAGGAATTACGCTCTAGTTGAAAACATTCAATCCCGAAGCTCCAAAAATTTTCAATATAACATTTTCAAAAAATCGAAGATTTGAGACAAAATCCATGAAAATCGCAATAAATATCATCAACCCGAAATATTTCCATTATTTAATTATTTAATTAACGTTTCAATGATTTTTGTTTTTTGGTGGACCTGAACCATACATTTACCTTGATTTTTACTATTTTTCCTCATTAATATTTTCTTAATTTTGAATATTGTCTGGACATCTGGAAAATTTCTGAAGGATAAGAAAAATCCAATTCGTTATTTGAAATAACTTATGTCCCATAGATTAATAATAACATTGAATTAATAAAAGAAAACTCTATTGAATATATTTTTTACAGCATTTGAAAAGAATGGTGGACAGAATCCGGAGGTTCCAAGTTCTGAACTCGCAGATATTCGCTGTGCTGAACAAATACTTGAAGAGTGGAGACAGTGATTCAACGAGTGTTGAACACGTCAGATGTTTTCCACCCCCGATTCATCCATCCCTTGCCCACACCCAGCAGCATTATCACGCCCCCGAGTACCTTCGCCAAATGAATCACCAATAGATTAATCTTAATTTAATTCTCTACTATTTATAACTCGATGCACTGGTATGATAACTAACGCTCAACTACACTGATAAAAAAATTTATTTGAGGGTATTTTGTTCTGCCCCCTTTTAGCCAAAATTGCCGGTTTTTTTTCGATTTCTGACAAATTGTTGATAAAATTGGAAAAAATACGCCATTTTTCACATTTTATTTAATTTCAATTGTCCAATGACTCCCAAAATGTCATGATTTTACAATAATGTCATGCGTTTTTTGTAAACTTTTCAAAAATTTATAAAATTTTAGAGAACATTTCGGGAGTCATGATGAAATAATTATAAAATTCAAAAATTATAGAGTTTTTCGAGCCTATCCGATCAAGAATTCGTCAGAGAACTCAGAAAACCGATCGGTATTGAGTACTTTCCTCGAGTTAATCGATATTTAGGAAAAATATATTGTTTTGTCAGTGTATTATTGAAAAATTTGGAATTTCTGATGTTTCAAAATAGGAGAATGGAATCAATTCATCATCAGTTCTCCAAATTTTTTTATCGAGTGAAAGAAGAGAAATTAACAGGAATAGGGAAGAAATTATATTGAAGTTTTCTAGTAATAATATATGCAATATATCAGTATATTACCTTATGCCATTTTGTATGAACAGTTGTAGTACTTGTAATGAAGATAAATGTCGTAATTTAAGAAACCCAATTTTTGATTTTTAACACGAAAAATAAAGAATCTTTTTTGTATATATTAAAAGATTGAGTGATATAATTATTACGTAATTCTGGGCTGATAAGGATTCCCGGATGAGCATTTCCTTGCAAAATCTTTTCTTCTTTGCACTCGCCGCATATAATTATCATAATCATTATTAAATATTCCCTTTAAAAAAAATCCAATGTAACGTTTTTTGAAGCCGGTTTATTCGATATATATATATATATATGTATATATATATATATGAAATATAAACCATATACTTTATTAAATATGTTATGATGAAACGAGACGTGAGAAATCCAATCGTGGAATTCTTATATTTTTATAACCGAAGGGAAAGCTTCAGAAAAATATTACATTGGACCTTTTCATTTTATAATCTCTCTGATTCTAGCTCAGTGTCTGAATCTGAATGTTTGAATTCTGATTCTTATATATCTATCGTTGAAAAATTGAATGGAAACTCATGTAGTAGCACCACAAATGTAACAATACGCGCGCGTTTATTGAAAATTAATGGACACAGCAAAAGTTCATTACGAAATATATTATTCTTTCATATATATTGTACAACATTTCCGGGGGATTCAGCAGAGAAATTAAAAAAAGAGAATATCCTATTGCAGAAAAATAAAATTAAAATCCCGGAAATTTGTCGTGATAATTCCATTAGTGACTGGAGCTTGAAGCGCCGATTTTAAACAAAAACAGTTGTCCACATAAATTCACTTTGGATTTAATTAGTCATCGCAGTAAATTGAGTTTCATTTCTTTTTTGCATTAATGAAATATTAGAAATTCATGTGCTACGAACAGAATTCATGTTGGATCATTCATGTTGGATGAGTACAAATAAATAAAAATCAATCGGAGTAAAAAAATTCCTGAGATTTAATTAGATGCATACGAAAATAGTTAAGTAGCAGTGAAGAAATAAAAATCAAAAATTTACTGAATATCTTCAGTAAATTCATGTCCAACTGAATTCATGACATCCAAAAATTCCTGTGGAATATTTACAACTTCTGTCATCAATTCAATCACAATTTTAGGAATTTAATTGTTGTTTTATGAATTAAATTACTCCCAAATTCATACATTTATGAATAATTAAACGAGTTACTGAATGAATTCATGGTGAAGCGTTCTCTGCAGCTGGAAATGTAACGTTTGTCGCACATACTCTAGGGGATCGTGTGAGAACGGCCTTCTCATCAGTAAATGGTAATTCCAATCCACACAATTTCGATACCATACTCTTCTTAGCCCTTCCAGCATCTCTCCTCTTCTTCCTCTCCTTTTTCCTCTCATTTTTGGTCTTGACTTTGCACATGTGGAGAGTCTGAATGTGCCTCCTGATCGTTGCCTTATCATTAAACCCAAGTTTACAGATATCACAGTAAACTTTGATGTTCATGTGAGCTGAGCGTATGTGAAAATCGAGATTATTCTGATAACTATACGTTTTGTAACACATGTCATAGGGGCAGGGGATTAGAGAGCCCGAGTGCACCTGCAAGTGATACTTCACATGGGATCTGGATAGAAAAGCTTTTTCACATTTGGGGCATTTGTATTCTGAAATTAAAAAGAAGACATTAATATTAGCATTCATCAGTGAATCCAATCGTAGAGAAGCGGTAAGAACTCAAGTCTATGTTTCAATTGTATCTGTAATTATGGAATTATCTCTCAATTAATTACATCTGAAATAACTAATTCGTTGGGAATTAATTGTTGCTTTTAAATAAACTTTTAGGAGATGCTGGTGTAATATGGACAATTGGAGTAAAATGTTTAAACAAAGATAAATAGATAAACGAATTATTCAGCAATTATGAGATTGATATAATGTGAAGTCATATTCCCCAGAAAAAAAGAAAACGTAAACAATACAAAAATGGCTGATAATAACGTACATCATCTGGACTTAAAATTCTAATTTACTGCTTGAGTCGTGTTTTCTATATTAAATTTATAACATTGGTAAATAATTGAAAGCCGATTTTTCTCAACACATCAGTTTGGCGTTGAATCTGATAATAATTAAATGATTTTTAAGAAGAAAATTCCCATTTTACTCCAGCAATCTTCCGGTTTCATAAATTTAAATAAAAACATTTCCATATTACTCCGCAATCCCCTCAATAAAATGAGATAAATGCATAATAACTGAAAATTTATGATGAGACATTTTAGTGAAGTGCTCAGGACTATTAGATAAATTCATTTTTCTATGTGTCCATTGTCTTTAAATGTGGCATGACCTTAGACTTTAAATTAACAATTGGTAAATAATTGCGAGCCGATTTTTCTCAAAACACCCCTTTGGCGTTGAATCTGATAATAATTCAATGATTTTTAAGAAGAAAATTCCCATTTTACCCCGACAGTCTTCCGGTTTCATAAATTTAAATAAAAACATCTCCATATGACTCCGCAATCCCCTTAATAAAATGAGATAACTGCATAACAACTGAAAATTTATGATTAGACGCAGTGACCACTTCGCTACTGCAGAAATAATGAATTTACCATTTACATGATCATTCTGCTTATGCCTTCTCAACTCAATGAACTTGTTGAATACTCTTTTGCAATCGGCTCTGTCGCAGGGATAAGACTTGATATGAGTTCGATAGTGCCTGGTCAACAGCGCAGAAGTCTTGAATGTTTTGGTGCACTTGTCACACGTGATGACCTGACCGGTGTGAATCGTAGCCATGTGCTCAGCAAAGTTGCTTTTCTTTCTGAATGTTTGATTGCACTCTTCACAGTAGAGTCTGTTGCTACTGTGGACTCTTTTATGATGTCTGAGGAGATTCTGACGATTGCTCAGAGCCAATGAGCAGATGTCACAGCTAAAAATATTAAATCAAATTACTCAATCAGTTCTATAAAATTTATAGGTAATTAAATTCAATTAAACGAATCTTTGTAATTCGCAGGATATGAGATATTAAAATTAGATAAATCGATATTAAATTGCAATTAAAATGCAATTAAAGGAAATTATCATTTGCAGAACTATTTCCAGGGAGAAATGTCTCCAAGTATTTTTTGTGGATCACTTGTTGAACTTTAAGTCGTTTTTTTAACATTTTTGTGTTCATCTTTGGGGATTGTTATTATTATTTAATGATTTGGGTAGAGGGACACTTGCATGAGTGAAGTAGAGACTTTAGTATGGCTCTGCACGTGTCTTTTCAGATGAGAGTTGGTGGCGTACGCCTTGTCGCAATTTTCCACTGTGCATTTGAATGGTCTCTGTAATTAAATAATGAATAAAGATTTGAAAGAGGAAATTACTATTTATTGAATTATTTATTGAGTCATTACCTCTCCCTTGTGTTGTCGAATGTGTCCCTCGAGTCTGTCCCGCTTTTTAAAAGTAGCTTCACATCCCTCGTAAGTACATTTATGCAGAGTTTTCGGTTTTTTTGCTGGAGGAAGATCGGGGAGATCCGGACTGAAAATTAATTGTCATTAATTCACTTCATTACTTCTTGAGGGATTGCTGCAGACCTTTGATCAAATTAACGTGTAAACATGAACCGTTTTTCGTTTTTATCATTATTCTATGAATTCACAAACAAATTTTCACAGTTGTGCGTCTATTTTTATAAATTTCTGGTAAATTGTTATGAATCTTTTCCAAACTTCATGAGACATAGAATCATATTTTTTCATGTCAATTTTGTCAACTAATTCTCAGAAATTGGAAAGAAAAAATTTGAAGAACGAGAGGATAAGGGCAGTAGCTCCTTGAAGGATGAGATAATTTACCTGAAGGGACGAGAAAAATTGTCATGAGTGTTTCGATGTTTTTTTAACTTGAAAGATGTCGTGTAAGCCTTTCCACATCTCGGAAACGTGCACTTCCAGGGTTTCTGAGAAATCAAAATGAGATTTAAAAAACAACTGCATTTGAAACCCTAGAAAATCATTTTGCAAAATATCATTGATGAGTTTTATTAATGATTGTGTCGATAAACTCAGGAATTATCCAACTTTCGCAGGATTCACTGCAAATTAAACTGTAATTACAACTTTTCAACCTCTGAACTCCTGTAATAATTCACTAATTCTAATGATTAATTAAAATTACCTCCCCAACGTGTCCACGAAGATGCCTCTCTAGCAGAGAAAGTTTGCCATAACTTTTTTCACACCCCTCGTAACTGCATTTATAAATTTTATCCTGTTGTTTCTTAGCAATATCCAGTTCAGAATTTGATGCAGGTAACCTCTCATCAGGAACCCCATCTTCTGGTTCGTCTTCGTGGAAATGACCCATTGCTCATTACTTCAGTCTTCGGTCTTCTTAAAGGATCAATCAATCAATCAATCAATCAATCCAGTACTTGAGGAATTATCGGCCTTGAGAATCTGAAGAAAAATGAATACTCATCGACTGGACGCATCGCAGATTACAAGTGACTTTTTTTTAGAAAAAGAAAATGGAGCTTGCGCTGTTGTTCTCGAGAGAAAGAAGAGGTTAAATTCCCAGTCGCATGTGAGACATTGAAGAGCCCGAGTGTCAATGAAATCAAGGTCATCTCTCTAATCATTACTCTAGATTTTCTAGAATAGATTGTTAACGAGTGGAAAATAATTAGTGATAATTGATTTGGAGATCGCAGAAAAAAGAGATTTCGATTGCATTTGTAGAAAATTGTTGGAGAGAAGTAAGTGTGAGGTGGATTTATAAAAATTATTTATGTAATAATAATGTAATATATTTTACCAGGCGATGGCAGCGGTTAAATTAGACAGCCTTGGGAAGGAAAAAATCGAGGAGATCATCAATTCATTTGACACGATTTTGGCGGATTGCGATGGTAATTCCTTCGTCTTCTCATTCTGTTGTTTTTCATTTGTTTTTTATGGCAAGAATGAGAGGATGTTGGGGCCAGATGGATGGCTATTCAAAATGACTGCATTCTAAATTTTTAATATTTTATTTTTATGGTTAAAGAGAGGTAAATTAATTCATTGAGGATTCAGAAAGATTGATAGACTGCCCTGTGGCATTCTCCAAAAAGTGAAAAGAAAGTACACAATCCCAGAAAATGGGTGATGATAATTGATGTCCTTGGAAGAGTTGAAAAATCTAATTGGTGCTTCAATCCTGTTTTTATAGTAAATTTGTAACTTCGTTAAACCATGAAAAAATGATTTTTCCGAATTATCAATTTGAAATTGAATCTGATAATAATTCAATGATTAATTCCTGCTACAATATTTCAAGTATAAAAATTTCCATGTTACCCCAGGCCCGCCTAACTGTTATTGATTTATAATCATTTACAAAATTCTCATAAATCGTGGCGGGAACTGGAAATCACTTGATTTCCAGTAATTTCTGGGGATTATGCGTTACAATCTCCTAGATTAATGCAGAGATTTCCTGAATAATAAATCCTCTAATTGAATCTTTGGAGATAGTTTTACTTGATTAAAAATTGATCAATCTCTATTATAATATAATTAAAGTGTCAATTACTGTCAATAATTAAAAATAATTGCATCCTTAATTGAAAACCTTTTACTGTGTTTAAACAATGATCAATAAATGAGTGAGGGATTTCAAAATCAAATTATGGCAGAAGTTGTCGCTGGGAAAAAGAAAATAATTGAAGAGTCATTTTCCATAGATTGTTAGTGTTATTATTTCTGATAATTAATCAATTGATAAGGTTTTAATTTTCGTTTTTCAGGAGTTCTGTGGCTTCAAAACAATCCAATCGCCGATGCAGCGAATGTAATGAATGCATTTCACAATAGCGGAAAACGAATTTTCTACGTAACAAACAACAGTACAAAAAGTCGAGAGGAGTTCGTTGCAAAAGCCACAAGTCTAGGTTTCATTGCAAGCACTGACAGTGTTCTCTGTACAGCTTATTTAATAGCTAATTATCTAAAAGATATAAATTTCACAAAGAAGGCGTACACAATTGGATCAACAGGTTCGTAAATCGACTCGAGATTTTATTTTTTAAATCGAACTCAAATCTTCATTTTGTATATATATATATTTATTTTCATATGTATACCCTCTCGGGTCTTTACATTTTGTTCCCTTCCCCAACCCCTTACAAGAAAACTAATAGTAAAAATACAAAATAGGATGCCATAAGGGCAGTGTGAATAGAGACCCGGCAGTCTACTTTTTAATCAGGTCCGGGTATTGAAAGAAGGTAGTTAAA